CAGTACTCCACCTCGAGGCTGAGATCCAGTCAGACCTGCAGCAGTACCTCAACCCGAGGCTTAGAAGAAGATCTACTGTAAGCATGCTTGACACTAGGAGCATGTTATCAAGTCTGACCTGAAGAAGATCTACTGTGAGCATGCTTGAGACTAGGAGCAGGATATCAAGTCAGACCTGAAGAAGATCTACTGTGAGCATGATTAACACTGGGAGCAGGATATCAAGTCAGACCTGAAGAAGATCTACTGTGAGCATGCTTGCCTCTAGGAGCAGGATATTAAGTCAGACCTGAAGAAGATCTATTGTGAGCATGCTTTGCACTAGGAGCATGTTATCAAGTCAGACCTGAAGAAGATCTACTGTGAGCATGCTTGCCACTAGGCGCAGGATATCAAGTCAGACCTGAAGAAGATCTACTGTGAGCATGCTTGACACTAGGAGCAGGTTATCAAGTGTGACCTGAAGAAGATCTACTGTGAGCATGCTTGAGACTAGGAGCAGGTTATCACGTCAGACCTGAAGAAGATCTAATGTGAGCATGCTTGGCACTAGGAGCAGGATATCAAGTTAGACCTGAAGAAGATCTACTGTAAGCATACTTGCCTCTAGGGGCAGGATATTAAGTCAGACCTGAAGAGGATCTATTGTGAGCATGCTTTGCACTAGGAGCATGTTACCAAGTCAGACCTGAAGAAGATCTACTGTGAGCAAGCTTGCCACTAGGCGCAGGATATCAAGTCAGACCTGAAGAAGATCTACTGTGAGCATGCTTTGCACTAGGAGCATGTTATCAAGTCAGACCTGAAGAAGATCTAATGTGAGCATGCTTGGCACTAGGAGCAGGATATCAAGTTAGACCTGAAGAAGATCTACTGTGAGCATACTTGCCTCTAGGGGCAGGATATTAAGTCAGACCTGAAGAGGATCTATATTGTGAGCATGCTTTGCACTAGGAGCATGTTACCAAGTCAGACCTGAAGAAGATCTACTGTGAGCAAGCTTGCCACTAGGCGCAGGATATCAAGTCAGACCTGAAGAAGATCTACTGTGAGCATGCTTTGCACTAGGAGCATGTTATCAAGTCAGACCTGAAGAAGATCTACTGTGAGCATGCCACTAGGCGCAGGATATCAAGTCAGACCTGAAGAAGATCTACTGTGAGCATGCTTGACACTAGGAGCAGGTTATCAAGTGTGACCTGAAGAAGATCTACTGTGAGCATGCTTGAGACTAGGAGCAGGTTATCACGTCAGACCTGAAGAAGATCTAATGTGAGCATGCTTGGCACTAGGAGCAGGATATCAAGTTAGACCTGAAGAAGATCTACTGTAAGCATACTTGCCTCTAGGGGCAGGATATTAAGTCAGACCTGAAGAGGATCTATTGTGAGCATGCTTTGCACTAGGAGCATGTTACCAAGTCAGACCTGAAGAAGATCTACTGTGAGCAAGCTTGCCACTAGGCGCAGGATATCAAGTCAGACCTGAAGAAGATCTACTGTGAGCATGCTTTGCACTAGGAGCATGTTATCAAGTCAGACCTGAAGAAGATCTAATGTGAGCATGCTTGGCACTAGGAGCAGGATATCAAGTTAGACCTGAAGAAGATCTACTGTGAGCATACTTGCCTCTAGGGGCAGGATATTAAGTCAGACCTGAAGAGGATCTATATTGTGAGCATGCTTTGCACTAGGAGCATGTTTCCAAGTCAGACCTGAAGAAGATCTACTGTGAGCAAGCTTGCCACTAGGCGCAGGATATCAAGTCAGACCTGAAGAAGATCTACTGTGAGCATGCTTTGCACTAGGAGCATGTTATCAAGTCAGACCTGAAGAAGATCTACTGTGAGCATGCCACTAGGCGCAGGATATCAAGTCAGACCTGAAGAAGATCTACTGTGAGCATGCCTGGCACTAGGAGCAGGATATCAAGTCAGACCTGAAGAAGATCTACTGTGAGCATGCTTGCCTCTAGGAGCAGGATATTAAGTCAGACCTGAAGAAGATCTATTGTGAGCATGCTTTGCACTAGGAGCAGAATATCAAGTCTGACCTGTAGAAGATCTACTGTGAGCATGCTTGCCTCTAGGAGCAGGATATCAAGTCTGACCATTAGAAGATTTACTGTGAGCATGCTTGCCTCTAGGAGCAGGATATCAAGTCTGACCTGAAGAAGATCTACTGTGAGCATGCTTGCCTCTAGGAGCAGGGTATCGAGTCAGACCCAATACAATGTCCTTCCAGAATCTGCAGGTTTTGATTAAGTCCATTTATTACACTCATCCAATTTTTCATTTGATTTTAGTTCGTCCTTCAGTTACAACTACCTTGACAGTTGTGTAGCACCACCTTCAGTTGTCTCCCCTGATCTTTAAGTGGTCTTGATGCAGTTATTTCCCTTAGTACACAGTTATTCACCTTAGTACATTGTTATTCTCACTACCTTTACTTTTACGTCCCCTGATTTATTCGTCTCTGTTTCAGGCGCACTTATTTCTATTCAGCTGTAGTTATCTCCCCTGAATAATTATTGTCTCTCCTAGGAAGACAATGTTGTTCGCATAAGTAGCAGTAAAATATGTTCTGATATATCAGGGGAGACAACTGCTGTGTATTTAGAGCCATGCAGTTAGCGTAGGTTTATCCACTTGATAGTACTGAGCACCTAGCCGATGTAAGGGAGACAACTGCTGGAGGTATAAAGCCATGTATGCCAGTGTAGGTTTATCCACCTGATATTACTGAGCACCTATATGATGTAAGGGAGACAACTGCTGGAGGTATAAAGCCAGGTAGCATGCCATAATCGGCCCTGCATCGGCCCAACGTCGGCTACACCATCAGCCCAACGTCGGCTACACCATCGGCCCAACGTCGGCAAACTGCATCGGGCTGATGAAGTTTTGCTCATCGGATCGACATCGGGGGAAAAAACTGATGTGGATTTGGAACCATGCAGTGAACGTAGGCTTAGCCACTTGATATTACTGAGAACCTAGCCGATGTAAGGGAGACAACTGCTGGAGGTATAAAGCCATGCAGTTAGCGTAGGTTTATCCACCTGATATTACTGAGCAACTAGCCGATGTAAGGGAGACAACTGCTGGAGGTATAAAGCCATGTATGATAGTGTAGGTTTATCCAGCTGAAATTATTGAATACCGATGAAGATCATCAGTTCGAGAAGCAAAAACAAGAGAATAAAACAAATTCAAATAATGACCTGTTTTCTGTTTTATTAAGCAGTAGTCCAATCTAACAGGAGTCACAAACGGACAAAGTCACTCCATTCATAGTCACATGTTGACAGAATAACGCATTCCACCAGAAAAAACAATTCATTCAGTCGTACCTAATTGTGAGAATCTAAAACACACGTGTTGACAGAATAACTCACACCACCAGACAAGCCCTTCCCTCAGTCGGACCTCATTATGAGAATTTCAAACACACGTGTTGACAGAATGACTCACACCACCAGACAAGCCCTTCCCCCAGTCGGACCTCATGAGAATCTAAAACACACATGTTGACAGAATAACTCACACCACCAGACAAGCCCTTCCCCCAGTCGGACCTCATGAGAATCTAAAACACACGTGTTGACAGAATGACTCATACCACCAGACAAGCCCTTCCCTCAGGCGTACCTTATTGTGAGAATTTCAAACACACATGTTGACAGAATAACTCACACCACAAGAAAGTCCCTCAGTTACTTTAGTCTGAGACACCCAACCACACATATTGACAGAATAACTCATACACACAAGAGAGGTCCTTCACACTGTCTGACCTCAGTGTGCTACACTCAAACACACATTTAAAGAAGAACTCTGCTGTGATGAGTGATGTATGTGGGTCTCTATCGACTGATGACTTGAAGGTAGGATGTGTTCAACATCGACTCCTGATGTGATGAGTGAGAGAGTGAGTGATGGATGTGGGTTTATATTGACTGATGACGTGAAGGTAGGATGTGTCCAACATCGACTCCTGATGTGATGAGTGTGAGAGAGTGATGGATGTTGGTTTATATTGACTGATGACGTGAAGGTAGGATGTGTTCAACATCGACTGCTGATGTGATGAGTGAGAGAGTGAGTGATGGATGTGGGTCTATATTGACTGATGACGTGAAGGTAGGATGTGTTCAACATCGACTCCTGATGTGATGAGTGAGAGAGTGAGTGATGGATGTGGGTCTATATTGACTGATGACGTGAAGGTAGGATGTGTTCAACATCGACTCCTGATGAGTGAGAGTGTGTTCTATTTACGTAGAGGGAATCGGATGGAGTTAGATGTGTTCAACATCTCCGCTGTTGTGACGAATGTCAGACATAGTTGTATGTGTTGCACATCAAGACAGGATAGAATCCTCTGTAGTTTAAGCCATATCATATCAATGATTGAAGGAGGATTCCTGATGGAGTTAAGTGTTTTATTTGACCAATATTACAAAAGCAAATGTCACGTCAAAAATATATACACAGTTACAGCAGTACCTGCTCGTGTTTCAATAGTATCAGCAATTTGTAAATGTGAACACCTGTTGAATATACACGTGGAAAATTACCACCTCTTCTTCATGTGTACCCCACACTTCTGTGTATCTTTCAGAAGTATCTCCCTGTACCAGCTGTTGGATTGTTAGAACACCGCATGCTTCACACAACACTGACTCGGGTCATGTGATGCACAGAAGCAGAGGACGTAACTGAAGGTTGTCAAATAACTGGAACTGTTACACAATGTGTCATGAAATACCAGCAACACCACGATGTTAGTGGCATTATCACAGTACCAGGTCACTTTGTACAAAACATATGTTTGGTGGGACAACTTACATAGGGTGTAACAGGGAATATACAATGTAACAGGGTATATAGTATGTAACAGGGAATATACAGTGTAACAGGGAATATACAATGTAACGGTATTTAGTATGTAACAGGGAATATACAATGTAACAGGATAAACAATGTAACACAAGATATACTATGTAATACTGGATATACAATGGAAAGACAACGTAACACAAGATATACAAAGTAACTCGGGATATACACTTTTTGTCATACGTGGAAATGTACAGTCATTTAACGCTGCCCCCAACACTGGTGGTTTCCTGTCATCACCTCTACTGTTGATGTCAACTATGTCATGTGAGACAATGTACTCTACAACCTCTACATTGCCTCCATCACAAGCCTTATGAAGCATGTTGTCACCATACTTATCCTTCACGGTCAGGTCACATCCTTTACTCACAAGTAGGTCAAACACTGCCTTGTGTCCCTTTGACACTGCGTACATCACTGGTGTTCTCCTGTCATCACCTGTACTGTTGATGTCTACTATGTTATGAGAGACAATGTACTCTACAACCTCTACATTGCCTCCATCACAAGCCTTATGAAGGATGTTGTCACCACACAAATCCTTCACTGTCAGGTCACATCCTTTACTCACAAGTAGGTCAAACACTGCCTTGTGACCCGTCAATGCTGCCAGCATCACTGGTGTCTCTTGAGATCTGTTTCTACCATTGAAGTCGACTTTGTTTTGTGCAACAATAGATTCTACTATATCTACATTACCTCCTATGCAAGCGAAATGAAGGATGCTGCTTTGTTTGTCATCCTTCACAGAGAGATCACACCCTTTACTCATCAGAGAAAACATGTCAGCATCACCCCTCTCCGCTGCCCACGTTGCTGCTGTTTTCCCATGTTTGTCCTGTACAAAGTCAACTCGTTTCTTCACAGACAAAACGTACTCAGCCAGCTGGAGATTCCCTGTCTGAGCAGCAACAAGTACCACATCATTCCCATTATAGTCCTGTCTGTGTAGATCAGCTCCAGCAACAATCAGGTGCTGACAGATGTCTGTGTGTCCATTGTACGCTGCCACCAGCAGGGGTGTTCTCCTGTCTCTGTTCACAGCATTTATGTCAAACATCCCTGATGACAGGAGATGCTCCACTATAGCCTGGTTACCTCCCTTGGATGCCAGATGTAGCAGTGTGTTCTTGTCAGTGTCTAAAACTGACAGATCTCCTCCTGTGTTCAACAATGTGTCAAAAATGTGTTTATGTCCTCTCTCTACACAATTCGACACAGGGGTTTTATTACATATGTCTGTCTCGTTTACATCCTGATATCCCACACCCTGTACAATGCCGAAGTTTCCCCCTTGACTGGCGTAGTGAAGAACTCCACGTGACTCTGTATCCTTTAATGACAAGTCACACTGGTTTTTAGTTAGAAACTCAAACATGATTCTTTGTCCTGCAGCTGCTGCTAACATCACTTGAGTCCTCCCGCTGTCATCCCTTGTGTTGATGTTGACCTTGCCCTTTGACAGGAGGAACTCTGCCAGCTCCAGGTTCCCTGTTTCTGCTGCTGTGTGAAGCAGACTCAGACCACTCACATCCACAAGTAACATGCTCGATCCTTTCTCCTCTAGGTGTGATTTCAATTTTGAGATATAATGTTTCTTTTGTGTCATCATGAACCTATTCAGGCCATGTTCCCTTGCTCGTAGAAACTGTGACATGTTCAGGCAGTCACCAACATGTCCATAAGAGAGTGTCTCAGACATGCTGAAGTCCGCAGGAGAGATTTGAAAGTTCTGTGATAGAAGTAACTGAAACACATCTCTGTGGCCTCTGCATGCCGCAATCATCAGAGGTGTCTTTCCATACTGGCCTCTGTGGTTGATGTCACACAGCTTACTGGATACCAGATTTTTGACAATCTGGACACTACCGCCCTGACATGCCAGATGTAGGATAGTATCACCGTTATCATCAACACCAGTCAGATCACACTTCCCTTCATCTGCCAGATACTCATACAGCTGACCAAGACCTTTCAGGGCAGCCATCATGACTGGTGTTCTCAAGTCCTGTCCTGGCAGATTCTTCCAGACCTCCATGTGGGGAAGCAGTAACTTGGCAACATCTGTATATCCCCTCAACGAGGCCAGATGGAGGGCAGAATTTCCGACTTTGTTCTTGATCAGACACTCTGCATCATCTTTCAGTAAGATGTTGACCATGTTGGCATTATTCCTGTCCACAGCCATCATAAGAAGAGAGTTTCCATCAGCATCTGTATAGTTTGGTGTATATGTGATATCTCCCATCTGTAGACCCAGCAGCTGCTGCCGTAGATACAGGAAGGATTTGGTGTCACGTAGTCTGATACAACAAGCTAGTTCCTCACCGACATGTACCTGTGACAGTTCCTGTTTCTGTAACATCTTCTGACACAGGTAATCATTGCCAGACTGTATGACCCAGTACAAGAGGCTCGTTGCACGCGAGGGAGAATCAGGTGTATCCTGTAAATGTAGAATATCCACAAAACTGTCCTCTAATTGTGTAAGGAACCAGTCAATGTTGTCCTCCCTGCTGAGAACTGGGTGACGGAATGTGTGTCTGAACTTCCCTTTCCGTGTGTCTTCTACCAGCTGTGTCAGAAACATGTCGTGTTGTGACTGGAGATGAAGATGGTTTTACCAGGTAAGTCTGTGAGAGATTGTCTGTTGTCAGTTTCATGCATAACTTTGCAGTGTTTCCATAGAAGTCCAGGAAACATGCGGCCAACAACAAACAAACAGGCGTCATATATGACAGGGTCTGTGAAACTGATATTGTTGCCAGACTGACATGGAAAGGTGGCGCACAATTTGTGTAACACGCCAGGAAGATTCTTTGTTCTAAATTCGGGAAAGAGAGACTCAAACTCACTGCCACCCCTGTCAAAGATATTTGGATAGTAGTTATCCACTTTGTTGCCAGAAACCAAAATATATATCATAGCAGCAGAATAATCAACATTATTTCTAAGTAATCTTTCTATTTCTGTTCTGAAATGAAAGTGAGGATATGTGAAAAATGTTACAGGATCTGTGGTAGGTCTGTCTTGACAGAAGTGCTTCATGACTTTGGGGAAACCGACATATGAAGGAAGGTTAGCTATGATGTCCTCCCGTGTGTCTGATGGAATGTCTGTCTGCATCTGCAGCATCTGGGAATATTCCTGCTTTGTTCTGTCCCAGTTCTGTCTTCCTATCTGTGTTATGTCCGTCTTTCGCATGAAGCATGCAGGTCCAATATAGCTTTTATATATGATAAGAACATGAACAAGCTTGTTTACTTTAGTCTTGTGTATCTCAAGTACCAAGTTTGAACATCTACGGTGCTCTCCCATGTCATCAATCTCTTCCTTGTGTATCTCATCTCCCATGTCATCAATCTCTTCCTTGTGTATCTCATCTCCCATGTCATCAATCTCTTCCTTGTGTATCTCATCTCCCATGTCATCAATCTCTTCCTTGTGTATCTCATCTCCCATGTCATCAATCTCTTCCTTGTGTATCTCATCTCCCATGTCATCAATCTCTTCCTTGTGTATCTCATCTCCCATGTCATCAATATCTTCCTTGTGTATCTCATCTCCCATGTCATCAATCTCTTCCTTGTGTATCTCATCTCCCATGTCATCAATCTCTTCCTTGTGTATCTCATCTCCCATGTCATCAATCACCACCAGTGTAGGTTTAGATGCCTGGAATACATCCATGTTGAAGTCCTCCCATCTGCTGTAGAAGACTGTGTTGTATCCTTGTCGCTGGTAGTCACAACACAGCATGTGTCCTATTGTGGTCTTACCTTCCCCAGGACCACCAGTCAGCATCACCAGGTTGTGTTGTTGTAGCTGGTCTCGGACTTCCTGGTAGGCAGCTGTCTTCACGAATAATATCCCCCAATCTGAAACAAACATCTCATTTGTCAAATGCGGAAGACAAAAATAGCATACACATGTCCTCGTAGTGATACAACCACAGAATACATGAAGTAAAATAACATACACAAACTGTATCTATTCATAACAGCAAAACTGCAGAACAACCACTTTTGAAATCCAAAGTGTAACAGTTACTTTATTGTCCTCATGCTTATCTTGACTCATCCCTACATTCATTACTGTTGTGACGAGTATTGATTAAACATTCCATATCTAACATGCAGCACCCATGCATGCTTCGAAACGTCCGGAAAATCTGTTGGAAAATGGAACACGTGTCAAAAGTCTGAAGACAAAAATAACATACACATTATTATATTCTCGTAATGATACAACCGCAGAATAACCACTTTTGAAAACCAAAGTGTAACAGTTATCACCCTTAATGATTCTGTGACGTGTATTAATTAAACATTCCCGTTCTAACATGTATCATCAACTCTGGAAAATATGTGTTAAAACTAAACAATTGTCATATAAAAGGGAAAGTGTATTGTTGAGGTTGAAGATACACATTAACGCTACTATTTGAAAATCAGATATTGAGAGTCAATTTCTACCTGTGAGTTTTCTTGATGGCTTTTGATGCTGGATCATCGTCCTGAATATGTTAACCATCTTCCCATCTCTGGAAGTCAAGGACTGATGTACAGACACATGCTCTGCAGTTTTGTGAAGTTGCTGGATCCTGGTCAGGAAGTCCCGAGAACTTCTGTATATATCTGGCGATATGACGCCATGCACGGTGTGAAAATTGGTGCAAGTTCTGCTCCTGACAGCGACAGTCAGAGCCCGGGCCTGTGTGGAGTTGTAAAGAACAGCGTCAGGCTCATCTCTGGAAACAAACGTCAGGACGAGAACCACTCCGTCTGTTTTAAAGATGTAGGCATCGCAGATGACGCTGTGGGGAGCTGGCACCACCTCCTCTGGCTCCAGGAACGTCAGCGCAGGGGAGTTGATGTAGACGAAGTTTAAATCAGGTATGGATCTCACGGATGTTAAAATATCTGGCCTTACAAACAGCTCCACGTCTATTGGGTGAATGCAGTCTGCAACTGTAACACAGACAATGCAACGAAAACATGCTGACTTTTTTCCGAAGGGTCACTTCATTTGCACCTGATTTCAGTTGTGTAATAATCACTGACCAGCTGTTGTAATACCATTGTAATAACCTTATTTATCATCTAAAGCTGGCTACCGCAGGTTACATCACTTGAGTCTCCTAGGAGATATTGCTATTATGACATTGCATCACAATGCTCTGCAGACCATTGTGACGTCATTGGTTGCCATGATCTCACAAGGAAATGACATCACCAATCATTCTGCTACTGAACTAGTAAGCTGTACTTTTTACACTAGTTACTACTGTCTACAAGCTGGAAAACATGGAAGCATGATTTTGTTAGTTGAATAAAATATCACCATCGTGACCTTTATCTCCTCGGCAAGACATTGAGGTTTAGCTGTTATCAACTGGAGTTCATATATTTGATATAAAAAGACACAAGGTTGTTTTTTTCTCTATTGATTTCGTTTGCTTTGGAATTTAAAAAATAACATCCAATACATAACTGAATATCGTTGTTACCAATTCGCAGTATAAAAAAATATATCAACTTCACTTACTACTGCCAGGTGTGTCAAATACTGCATAGGAAAAGTCCAAATCTGGAAATGAAGCGAAGTCATTGATGTCAGAGTAAATTGTACATTACTGGTCACACAAGTAGGAATTGGCATGATTAATTGATAGTATGTTATAAATTATCAATGAAAGAGAACAAACAGACTATATTTTCCTCCAAAACATTTCATTTGGTGTATAACTTTTACAGTCACTAACAGTGTTGAATTTGATTTAAGCCTTGGATATTGTGGCGACGTTGGGGACATATTGAATCTGGGTCTTCAGGCTTTTACACGTTAACCCCTCCACTTTTACAGAAGAATAAACTTGTTGATATCGTTATGATAATAGTAGTTGGTAGCGGTACCCTGGTACCGCTCTTGGCTTCTGATTGGTCGGTTGGTCTGCTGACGTCACTTCTGGTTTCGGTTTGGTCACGTGACTGCGCATGCGCACAGGGCATGATGGGTCCTGCGTGCGCATCCAAGATGGCGGCACATCCGTTTCCGGTGGCGTGCACCTCCAAGAGGGCGTCGCCTCCGTTTCCGGGGAAGGGAAAAAAACCAGAGAAGCGGTCGTAAAAGGTGAACAAGATCGACATTGAAAGAAGCGTGTCAAAAATCTTGTTGTTGTTTTTCTAAACATAGAAAAGGTGGTGGCGGTGGTGAAGGGTGGGTGGTGGTGAAGGAATGGAGGGAGGGAGGGAGGAATGGAGGGGGAGGCAGGTTCTTTTTTGGGGTTTGAGGGTCGTCAAAGCAAAGGATGAAAGCGATCTTTCGGGAGAGATGGGTGGCCCTGAAAAGGACCGTTTTGAAGAGGATGACTTCTTTACATGCAGGTACACGCAACGGTACAAAGGCACGGGTTGGTTTTCATTTGGCGTCTTACAGGACACCTACTTGTGTGCGTTAAACGACGCATGTAGGTGTCCTTCAGCACAGTGTTGCAATACACACATTGAAAAGTCCCATCCCGTGCCCTTGTACCAAGGGTGTACACAGGTAGGTACCCTTGGCATCTACCACATTGCCATGGAGGTAACGATGGCAATGGTGGTGATGTAGAAATCAGTTCCAGATTCCAGTTTTCAGACATGTTGTTGCTGTTGCTGCTGATTATTTTCTTTCTTTTTTTACAAGTGACACTGATCCACTCGAATGGTTGTTCTCTTGTTTTATAGGAGAGCTACTGACACCCTGCTTCCTGGTTGGTTCCTCAGGCAGCAGCTCCGATTGGTTCAAAACGTCAACGACATTCATCACCCCAGCAGGAGGAGGAAGCGTTGGTGGAAGAGGTGGAGGGGGAAGAGGCCATTGAAGTGGAGAAAACAAAAAAGCCAAAGAAGCCAAAGAACAAGAAAACCACCACTACTACGACAGTGCAGACAATGCACGATCCTATGATTTACACTTGATCCTGAAGGGTCTGTCCCCTCTCCTGATGAAACTCCCCACCAAGATTTGAAATGGTCAACAAATTTTGCAGGAGCCTTTCCAAGGAGCTTTGGGCTGAAAGAACTGAAGAAAGGATACTTTCAGCACTTTTTCAATACCGAAGCCAACCAGACCTACAGAGGTCCCTATCCACCAGCCGTCATGTACGATCCCGATGGCATGTCTCCCGCGGAACGCACAGCCTTCCTCCAGTGGCATACCCAAAAAGTGCCAGAAGGAGCCTTGTTTGACTTACAAGGAGAACTTTTAGCTTACTTCCAGAGCGATGTGGACATTTTGAGACGGGGATGCGCTGACTTCTGACAGAACGCCATCAACTCGGTTGGCATGGATCCCTTTGTAGAAGTGATGACAGCCGCTGCGTTCACCATGAAATCCTTCCGAAAACACGACCTGAAACCCAATACCATGGCCATTCTTCCACCTCAAGGCTACCAACCCAAGAGAAACTATTCCCAAGCCTGTATGCACTGGCTGAATTATCTGATGGAAACGGACCCCCATCTGCACCTCCAGCACGCCAGGTATGGAGGTGAAAAAGAGTTCACGAGTGGAGAGCGTCAACATCGGTACAGTGTGGATGGCTGCGATCCACTGACAGGCACCATCTATGAATTCCTGGACTGTTTCTGGCATGGGTGTCAGGCCTGTCACAAGACTAAGTTGTGGAGAACTGCATCCCATCCTGGGCACGTCGTTTGGAGCCCGTTATACCGACACCTGCTACCGCCTGAGTCTTGATCAACACCCTGAGGTGAAACGGATCGTCACCCTGTGGGAGCACGAGTTGACAAAAATGCAACAGGAGGACTCTTGCATGGACCCCACTGTATCCACGTCCCTGGGCCGCTCAACCCTCGCGACGCCTTCTATGGAGGATGCACCAATGCCACGCGATTATGCTACGAAACCAAAGAAGATGAAACCATCAAATACATCGACATTTGTTCCCTTTATCCATACATTTGTAAGACCGGAGCATTTCCGACGGGACACCCGACCCTTTTCCATCAACCCCCTGTGGACACGTTGTTTGAACAGAAAGGACCGATCCAATGCTGTGTCCTACCCCTGAAACGACTTTACCATCCGCTACTGCCTTACAGATCGGATATCAAACTGCTCTGTCCTTTGTGCCGTACATGTGCCGATACTCAGTCAGACTCCCCCTGCAATCACACGGACGAAGAGAGGTCATGTGTGGGTATGTACGCCACCGTAGAACTCCAGGAAGCCGTGAAGAAGTATGACTCCCAGGTGCTTCAGATCTACGACGTTTGGCATTTTGACACCTTTGCGCAGCATGACCCAGATACCCAGCAAGTGGGACTCTTTGACACTTATATCGATCGGCATTTCAAGGAGAAGTTCGAAGCCAGCGGATACCTCGAGGGATGTACGCATCACGACGGTTACATCCAGGAGATCTACGACAAAGAAGGCATTGGTTTGGACAAGGATAGCATTGAAAAAAATCCAGGACGTCGCACGATTGCCAAGATGCAACTGAATTCGCTCTGAGGCAAGTTTGGACAACGGTTAGACTACAGTCAGAACATCTATATGAACGATCCTGTACAGTACTTTGCCTTGTAGAGGAGTGAACGCAATACCATCGAGGATATCACCGTTATCACCGAACACATGATGGAACTGACCTATACCCAGAAGAAAGAATTCCAAACCCCTCATCCTCATTTCAATGTCGCCGTCGCTGCTTGGGTCACCGCCCAAGCACGTCTCAAGCTGTACGAGACCCTTGCCCTGGTGGGTCGCAGCATCTTGTACTTTGACACGGACAGCGTCATTTACATTCACGACGCGAATCCAGAGCTGGGCCATTCGTTGGGTGAGTTTACAGATGAATTGGACGGAAACACCATCAAGACGTCTGTGTCAGGAGGTCCCCAAAACTATGGCTATGAGTTAATGAACCCCAGACCAGATGGACTGCGTACGACCTGCAAAGTGCGAGGGTTCACTTCGAATTACAGAAACCAACAACATCTCAACTTTGAAACCATTAAAGGACTGATACTGAGACAACGGCCTGGGAAAGAGGGGGAGACAATCAGTTTGGATTACCCTCATCAGATCATTCGAAAAGGACCTTGGCACGAAAATACTCTTGTGACCCGACCCACCCGAAAAAACTATCGTACCGTGTACGACAAGCGACGTCTCGTCTTCGACGAAACCACAGGGCTGCCTGTAGACACGCTCCCCTTTGGGTACAGAGACGACTTTCTATAAATAGTTCATACCATTGGGGTATCACAACGGATCGAAACTGAATCGACATGAACCCCTACAAAAAAAACGGATCGAAATCTGACCAATCAGAAGCCTGGGTTGTCGACCCATCAGAGACCATGCTCGGAACCATGCTGGTCTCTGATTGGCCGAAACGAAGTTGTGCTTTCTCTCTCACGCTACAAGCCTTACCCTATGGATAAGAAACACGGGTCCAGTTTGGAAAAATTGAAGCTCAGACCAGACCCCAAAACGGACCAATCAGAAAGCAGGACCTCAGTGCTTTTTAATACGACCAACGCTCTCCGGTCATCATTTTTCAGTGAAGGTACGAAGCAACAACATCGTCCCTCTGATTGATGTTCCTCACGTTGTGTTGGCTCTTGGCGTTTCATCTGGAAGAAACACGTGTTTGGAGAGAGTACCATCAAGTGTTGACACACATCCGTGAAGACTTGGAAAGAAACAACGAACAGAAAATCCGGACAACATCATGTTGAAACAGTTGAATGCCAAGACACGGAGCGACATGGGTGGTAAAGGAGATGGGAACGGTGACATGACTGCTGAACTGTGGGGTGAAATGTACGACATGTTGTGTGCAAAGATAAAGGCCGACGACGCTATGCCAAGATACATTCAAAGATGCGGAAACTGACTGAACCCCAGAAAGTAGCACCGAAGAAGACGATAAAGAAGACCCAGAAGAAAAAAACAAGCAAACCAGCAGCAGCAGCATCAACCACCACCACCACCACAACAGCGCCAGTCACTACCACTACAGCAGCAACAGCAGCAGCATCATCAGCAGCAGACACCAAAACGAAGGGGACATCCTTTTTGAAACCTGCAACACCTGCAAAAAGACGACCATGGAAGAAATTGTCTCTGAAGATCTCTCATCAAGAACAGCTGTAAGTACCATGCTCTTCTTTGTCTCAGTCATTCTTGATGTGATGATGATGATGTTGATGTTGATCATGACTATGACTATTCATAGGATTGACTATGTCATATGATTGAAAGGACCCCAGATGTCAGTTCAGCCCAGTCCATGCTAGAACAGCGGTGGGAACAAACCCCTCGGGAGCCAACCTATTCACCCAATGCGCCTGTGATGATGACGACCGGTGACAGTGATGATCATGAAGCACTTAAGCTCGCAACTCTCCCTTCCATGGATCTGGACACACTTCCCCTGCTTGATGCTTCTTGGTCACCAGCATCACCGGAGGATGTCTTCTCCTCAGGTATGCCCATGGTTTGCAACGATGACAACGTTGACCAGGATCCTTATGGAGAAGCTCAACTCACTCCCCTACAACGTGAATGTAGTGCTTGCCGACACAACAACATGTTAAGATACATCAGCTGCAACAGTGGTCAAGTGATGTGCCATGTCTGTTTCAGGGAGGCCATAGACTGTACTTGTTTAACTGATGGGCCCCTAATACGTTTGATGAAAGACCACATCTTATGGTGACCCATCTTCACTCGAAGAGCTTGAAGATAGAAGAGCTTGAAGATGAAAGAGGAAAAGGTTGTCGCATTATTGTTGTTGTTGTAGGGACATGTAAAGCACTCCCTCCTCCATTGTCTTTTTTCGTATTTCCAATATATCTGGTTGTGATTGTTCATTATTAAACAGTGATTGATTGAACTGACTCTTTGGGTCTTAATTGATCTCAACTCCAATAGAGTGCCGAACCGAGGGTAGAGGTTGAGTTGAGATGTCGTCTATGTTGTCTGTCTGTGCGTCTGTCATGTCAGTGCACACCAAAGTGATGAATTAAAATAAAAGAGAAAGGTCATGCTTGAAAGATCAGCTGCCTGGTATCAGTCATTCCAGTACACACCACCACTATCACCGTGTGTCATGTCATGTCATGTGTCATGTCATGTATCATGCCATGTGTCAGTCAGCCTAAACACAGGATGACGTCACGTGATGAGGTGGATGAGGTGAATGAGAAGGGGTGAGGAGGAGGTCATGACCTTCCGTTGAAGGAGGTAGGAAGGAGAGTTTCATAAAAGTAAGCGAACCCTCAGACATTCTTTCAGTGAAGTCACAGTCATCATGGAGCAAAGACAGTCTATGAATGCCATGTCATCCTCCCGAGATGTTGTCACTGATTCCGAGTGGGTGTCTGAAAAGTCGGGAGAACAAGAAGCGAAAACGTCCACTCTTTATGGACAACACACTCGTTATGGACGACACATGGCGACTCTGGAGGGACCTTTTCCTTCTTACACCTTGTGTCATCCTTCTCATCCTAACTATGATTCATTTCAAGAACGTCTGAGATCTTTTCAAACGTGGCCTGAACAGATGACCCAGACCCCGTATGACATGTATCTGTTATTGCTGCGGTGTGACACTCTGCAAATGGGAAGTCACAGACAAACCCTGGAAAGAACATATGAAGCAAGCCAAAGTCCCCTGCGAATACTTGTGTGTGTTTTGTCCTGATCGAGAAGTGAACGAAAAATACAGACGTTTGGTGTCCCAAGAAGCACGGAAGAGAAGAGTCGAATGTCTTGTTCACCCCAAGTGACAAAGTTTCTTTTTTTTCAAAGTGTACAGACGTTCATACCCTCGTAGTCACACTGTGGTCACCTTCGTGTTCACAAAAATCACAGGGACGCCCCTAATCCTGTGACTTTTGTTTTGTGGTGTTGGTTCATGTGAGCTGGGGATTAAAAACAAGTTGAAGTAGTGTCATGTTGTCTGTATGTGAAGAAAAACAAAACAGAATCGAAATGCACACCCCGATAAAAACCGGATCGAAATCTGACCAATCTGAAGCCTGGGTTGTCCACCAATCAGAGACCACGCTCAGATCATGCTGGACTCTGAATGGCCGAAACGAGGTTGTGCTTTCTCTCCCATGGCAAAATCCATTTCCTATGGAAAAGAAACACAGGGGTCGAGTCATTTTAGAAAACCGAGTTGCAGGTCAAGCACCGGAACGAACCAATCGGAGCTGCTGCCTGGGGAACCAATCAGGAAGCAGGGTGTCAGTGGCTCTCCTATAAAAACAAAAACAAAAGCGAAGTCACTCACACACTGCATTCTATGAAACCAACCATGTCACCTCGATACAGTTGTATGAAGTGCAAGACCGAAAGTCACAGTTACCTGTACTGCCCTGAAGTGACATGTCTCGAGTGTCACACTCAAGGTCACCGTCACTATGTCTGTCCGAAGATAAGCAGTCAAGAGAAGCAGAACCAGGGCCCATGTTACAACTGTCAAGCCGTGGGTCATTTTGCTGCAGATTGCCCAGAACCCAGTCGAAAGAAGACACCCAAGCGTCCCTGCTACAACTGCCAAGTCGTGGGTCATTTCGTTGCAGATTGCCCAGAACCCATTCGAAAGAAAACGTCAGCAACACCATCCACGTCGACATCCGTGACAACCGTGACACCCGTGACACCCGTGACACAAGTGCTTCATCTCATAGAAGCCATGCATGTCGATGTCCTCGACCTAAAAGAATGCATCGCACAACTCCGTGTGGGCATCACACCTCGTCTAGAGAAAAGAAAACGGGACAGAAGCCACTCAAGAAAACACTCTTCAAAGCGCCGACGACACCTTTAGTCTGAGGATGAGATGGAGGTAGAGGATGAAGAAGACAGATCATCTGAACAAAGTGACTAACGCATGGGAGGACATGCTGCTCCACTGTTTTTCCAGTTGCCCATCGTTTCCAGTTTTTCCAGTGTTCCAGTTTTCCAGTGTTCCAGTGTTCCTACCGTTTCCTGCCGTTTCCAGTTTCCAGTTTGTTTTCCAACGGCCCTTTTCAGGGCCACCCATCTCTCCAGAAAGAACGCTTTCATCCTTTGCTTTGACGACCTTCAAACCCAAACAAAGAACCCACCTCCTCCTCCCTCCCTCCCTCCCTTAACCACCACCCACCCTTCACCACCGCCACCACCTTTTCTATGTTTAGAAAAACAACAACAACAACAACAACAAAAAGATTTTTGACGCGCTTCTTTCAATGTCGATCTTGCTCACCTTTTACGAACTCTTTCTCTGGGTTTTTCCCCTTCCCCGGAAACGGATGGGACGCGCTCTTGGAGGCACACGCCATCGGAAACGGATGTGCCGCAATCTTGAATGCGCACGCAGGACCCATCATGCCCTGTGCGCATGCGCAGACACGTGACCAAACCGAAACCGGAAGTGACGTCATCAGACCAACCGACCAATCAGAAGCCAGGAGCGGTACCAGGGTACGGCTACCAACTACTGATAATGATACTTGTATTGCTGAAATGAATCAGTCTGAGATACACCCCTACCATCAAAGTCCAGATACTTGAGCCCTGGTGTCCTCTGTGGTCTGGTGATGGAGTGTTGGACCTCCCCGTCAGAGCTGTAGGTGCTGGACAAATCCGAATCTTCACTCTCGGTGGACGACATTCTGACTTCTGTGTGATAGCGCTCTTTGATTTATATGATAAAGTTTTTTTCCAAAAGACACAAAACACACAGTTAAGTCAAATTTTGTTGTATTCTCTTACAAATATTGAAATCCAAGTGTCAAGCCAGTCACTATCTGTTCCAACTTAATGATAGGTACCATGCATAACTAAATATATTTGCAATAAAGGCTTGCATAAAATAAGAAAACAGTCACTGTATTCACTGCACGTCTTTTATGTACGGGAATAGATTATGTTCTGTGTGTTTAGATTGTGTTCACTCTCAGTCTCCACCTCATTTGTTTGTATCACTTTCCACGAAGGGAGCTGCAGGATTCTTCGTAGCCACTCAGTCCTTTCCATTCTGCATATACCATGATTCTGTATTTCATAAATTATTGGCCCCTGTTTGTCACAGAAGACAATCCCACCAAAGAACCTCACTGCTACTTCAAGTACACACTTGTTCCCTACGCCAGGGAGTCTATGGATTCCTATTTGGACAAGATCAGACGGTGGGTCACCAAATTCACCAGTGAAAGATAACACACAAAGTTCCTTGTTTACCATGATGTGCAGACCTTCCTTAAGTTCTTCTGGATTATCAACCTGAAAACCGACAAAATGGGGTACTTTAGTCTTGTAACCGCTCTCTGTGACCACTCTTTCCTCTACTCCCACATAATATGACCCTCCACCAGGAACTTTAGACATCGACGTTATATTGTCCTTGAGTTTAAGATCTTCCCAAATATACTGCACATGTGAGATGTCATTCTTTGGACAGAACAGTTTCAGTTCAACATTCTGAGATTCTTGGTACAGCTGCAGCTTGTCTTGATCAATTCCCTTTAAAGCAGGTACACCACGTGATGCCTCGTATTGAGAATGTGCCAGCAAGTAAACTAAATTAAATGTTGTAGGGCTTGTGTTTTCAAAGTCATTGCATATCTTTGTGTTAACATTTGCCGTCGAAATTCCACATGTGAGAGCTACATTTATCAATAAAACATCTTTAAAGGTTTCAAAGCATGGTATCTCATTTAACCATGTAGTGTGATATGTGTCCACATAGGAAGATCCACACTCAATCAGGTCCTGTAGAGTTTTGTCCACAAACTCATGGAAGTACTCCAGATACTTGTCTCCCTCCTTTTGTCCGTGTAGGTGAACCAGCAGATGTCCCCCAAGCGTGTTCCTGAGTGCTGACACTTTCTTTACTATGTCCTGGAGGATCTTCTTCTTCCCCTTCTTGACCTCCTTATTTCTTCCTGGACCTGTGATGATGCTTCTGTCTGCGTGAACGATGAAGCTGTGTGGAGCAGAGCTGTACTGTCTATATTCACGTTCAAGGGATGTACATCGTTGACACATATCTGAAATAATAATAATATAATAATATCATTACAAGGACCAGTCACTTCCCACTTGAAAACGTCAATGTGTGATTTTGCATCAACATGCAAATATGAAATGTAAATTATGTAATGAATTTAATTAGACTCTCCAACACATTGTCAGTGGATATCCAGCTTTGGCACACACACAGTATCTTAAATGACATGAGTAGCTCGATCATTTTATTACTGTCTTCGCCATGCTTGTGATTTTGACACAGTGGTCCATCCATGGTACAACCCAGAATATAAATATAATAATCATAATAGTAGATCATGGATAATGAGTATAATAAATCATTCAGTTTATTAGGATTTTGGAAATACTCAAATAGACATAAGTGTTTGATCTTTTATAGTATTCAACAAAGTTAATTTCAATCTCACAATGGGCATACATGCTGACTGTAATCTTCAGAGACAGTAAATTTGTTTTCGATGTGGATTTTCCTTTTTTAGATTAAATTTTCCGAATCGAATTGAAAGCTGACATCTGGTTTACTGAGGAACCCACGCGGTATTGCACTGGTAAAACCGTTATGGTTGTGTGAGTTTATATTGTTACAAATCAGTAGAGGAGACTAAATTTGTGTACATGTGTAACGTGTCACTGCTTATAAAAGCACAGTACGTTTGAACAAAACTAACAACCTGAGAGGGTCGTCCCAGTAACTGAGGCCTACACAGGGGTGAAATATATCTTCGAGAACTACATACTTGAGATGGAACTAGAGGTGTTGGACGCAACAGTGTAGAGACACAGGGGGGAATCTGCAGGGGGAAACGTCTTAGGTGAGGCTACGTTCGTATCATCGGCTGTCGGTATTACAGCAGGTAAACATACACAATACACGTGACACACTGACTATCATAATGGCCCTTAACTCAATTCAGGCGGAATTCACTGACGCAAGGCCAAGCCAACTTTTACAGAGAGTCTTTCAATGCTCTATGTTAGAGTATTCAGTGTGTGTACTGGCTTGAATTATACTATCCATTGAACTCAATGACAGAAAAATCGTCAAAGCCGTTCTAAGTAGTAGTAATGAGATAAGGTGTTCACAAACACATACAATTTTGAAATGTCCTCCATAAATCTTCATGTATAGATCTAAAAATTAATTAGATGAGGTGAGGTCACTGGTCTCTTATATTTCTATCTCAGATAAGTAAATGGGTGGAAGGGAATCGGCTATTATTGAACGAAATCAAATCTTTGGTAAACCTCACTTTCTGGCATCACTGTTGAGGTACACATACAAAGATTGCACATAACTAGCGTCTGCAAAACGTTGAACTGCATCAACCTTAAACTGACTTGAGTTTGAATGGGAATTTAGATTCCTGATATGTACACTACTAGTGTACACTTAGGTAGGCGTCTGCTGGTCATAAGACGTTATTAGTTGTTTCCCTTCTGTTTTCGTGGTGTTCAAGTCAAATGTTGAGTGAGTGAGTGAGTTGGGTTAAACACCACTTTTAACAGTATTCCAGTTATATCGCGGCGTGTGTCAAATGTTGAGCTTTCAAACACATATTCACGTGAAGGAATGTAATATATGGCGTGGTTAATCATGACGGACATGTAGATTTTTTAAACAGTATACAAGCAGTAAAAGAATCAGTTATACTCACCAGCTGTGACCAAACTCTGCCAGAAACCAGTTCTAGTTCTAATTGTAGCACCGCATTACGCCAGTCGCAGCCTTTATACTGTTACCCTACAGTTACACTATGTCACATGACCAGACCGGGTGAGCCAGCCCCATACTGTATACCAATACGTCATACGTCTGTGCAATTCAAAGGAGAAGGCACGTGGTATCCAACTGGCGACGGTAAGAGGGAAGAAATTCATTTTCTATAACACCGTCGTTGGGCCTTAATCTCATGTACTGGTCTGTACATAGGACAGTTTTTTCACTTCATTGAAATATATGTGAACTATATATCATCTTATTTCTATGAGTTAAACCTGTGAATAGATAACTAGCTATTTTGTGGACTGGAGTTCAACTCACATCAGTTGAAGGTTTATTTAATCTATTAGCAGCTGTTATTGCCTTGTCCCCAATACCTTTGTTGTGTAATTGATTCATTTCAGTTTATCAGTGTTATTTTAAACTATGTCCATGCAATAGCCTCCAAAATAAGTTCCTCGTTAGCAGTTTAAATAGATGAAACGTATTGACGCATCTTTGGGTCCCCAGATCGCTCTAAATACCGCTACTGGTGACAGATGCTCTGCCCTGAAGAAAATGCACGGTTTCACAAGAGGACATTCGGATACATTGGTCTATTTGATAGACCAGCTATGGCTCCAGATAAGTAAACATTTCCACATCAACAACCATGACAACCACAACAACTAGAACTACCACTACTACCACTACTACAGCTACAAGTTAATGTCCAGAACTGGGATTACAATGGGTACAACTACCACCACTACTACTGGATACAGAAAGTCGACATGTCACGTCAGTACAGTGGGCGATGATTGGGAATTATGCAAAAAAGGCATATGTAGAGAGTCGACTTGTCACGTCAGTACAGTGGGTGGTTATTGGGAGTTATGCAAAAAAGGCATATGTAGAGAGTCGACTTGTCCCGTCAGTACAGTGGGCGGTAATTGGGAATTATGCAATGAAGACCTGTATGTAGAGAGTCGATTTGTCACGTCAGTGAGTGGGTGAGTGAGTGAGTATGGTTTTATGCCGCTTTTAGCAATATTCCAGCAACATCACGGCAGGGGACACCAGAAATGGGCTTCACACATGTCGGGAATTGAACCCGGGTCTTCTGCGTGACGAGCGAACGCTTTAACCACTAGGCTACCCGACCGCCCCGTCACGTCAGTACAGTGGACGGTGATTGGGAATTATGCAATGAAGACATATGTAGAGAGTCGACTTGTCACGTCATTTCAGTGGGTGGTGATTGGGAATTATGCAATGAAGACCTGTATGTAGAGAGTCAGTACCGGGGGAGTGGCAGTGAGTGAGTGAGTGAGTACTGTATTACGCAAAACCACGAACAATACGATAAAGGACGGCCAGTATTAGCTTCACACACATCCACATCAGTGGCTGGTGAGTGAGTGAGTTAATGGCTAAGTCAGTTTGTTGATAAAGCACAGTCAGCATTAACTATACTTAAGAACCTTTCTGGTCATATTCAAATATAAACCTGAAGGAAAAAACTTGCGCGCATTTCGATTTCACACAAGTCTCTACACACAAACACAGACGGACAGTAAGGTATGTTGAATGTCAGATATACGACAGTCGTCTTTGAAAGGGTTGGTGTTGTCACAGCAAATGTAAACAGTGAGTTCGAAACAAATAATCAACAGATTAGAATTCAATAGTCAAGAGTTAACTTGTATCTGCTATTATGGATCTTTTGAAAGGTACTTGTTGCAAACATGCTACATTTCAAAGAGTGAAAAGTCACAAGAACTTTTATATGTTCTCCTTTGTCAACACAAATAATGCTGGTGTCGCCGGGCGTGGGACAAGATTTGACTGAATAACAACTCAGCTGGAAATACTTCAGTGTTTCTAAAGGCGGAGGTTTAACGATCGAAATACGACTGAAAGTAATGGCTTTTCAATTACACTTGAAATGGTTCGTCCTATATGAATACCCCATCCAGTGTATTGTACGCCTATAATCCACCTAACGGTAAGAATGCACATCACAATACCTGAACACTGAACAACCATAAAGACGTTTGTTCCTTTGTGTGATGCAAAGTGTGCATAAAATTTGGTGCAAAGCGTAATATCAACAAATATTAAGAATATATATCTTTGTAAATGCATGCGTCGTATGTTAATGATGCAGGGGTATTTGATATGTTTTATATAATTATATCAAATGTTATTACCTTAATGCATTGACGTTTAAGTTCACTCAGAGTCTCGCCCATTACGGACAATCTAAATACATGCACCTTGCCAGTTACAATAATATCTATATCTATATCTAATCATCTATAGTAGATATCCTACATCCAGTCGACTAAGTTTGAGAAACATGTTTTCATTTTACTGCTGGACATGGCGATGGGGTAGCCTGGTGGGTAAAGTGCTCACTGAACACCCGGGTTCGATTTACCACTTAGGTATAATGTGTCAAGCCATTTCCGGTGTCCCCCCGCTGGAATATTGCTGGAATATTGCTAAAGGCGGCAAAACACCATACTCATTCATTCACTGAAATTCATATACCCCATGAACTTTTACCTACTTTAGTCCATGATCATCCATGACAAAATATGTATTTCAGATCCACTTGAAGTTGAATGTTGCAAAGATCAAACAATTGTTCGACCCTCTCTTCTCTGTTGTGTACTTTCCTTTCTGACTAAATTTACTCGGCATTCTCCCTCATCTGTTTTACATTCTTGGTGTTATGGTCAGTCGCCGAGGTAAATAAATCTATGATTCTAGCTGAGCTAAAAGAAATATGATAAAATATCATAACATGGTGATTTTAAAGCTGTCTAACGAAAACCCATCTCACACATTCTCAAGTATGCATATTTATTTCAGTGTCGACACATTACTGAAAGAAATAAGATAATCTCTTAATGCTGAGATCACTGGGCATGTACTTTTGGAGAAACTATTTTTGAACTATTTATTATCTCTTCTCCAATGACAGTCGTGGCATTTCTTTTGAGTGCTTTCATCACGAGTGGTTATACCCTGCAGACGAACGCATGTATACAGCCAACATGCACGTGCAGTTTAAGGCATACGCGGGAAACGTGTTTCACCAGTTTGTTGTCACCGCACGAGCGCGGTCAAAGGTGGCGCGATCGGGTGAGGTTTTTTTTGGTACCTGTTCCTGAGAAGTCATATTCCCAATACCCACTTTCCAATAGTTATCACTGTTTTTAGGAAAATTACAAATTGCCAACCTGTACTTTCTTTTGCCGCCTAGTTTATATAAGCTCATGAATAACTCAGTATTTGGTAAAACTATGGAGAATCTAAGGAGGCATGTTGATGTTGGTCTGAGGAAAAAAGACTTAGGAACCTTTCAGCCAGTCCTGCTATTTACAGAAGTAACATATTTGATGACGACTTTGCAGCATTACATAGAAGAGTAATATGAAATTCTACAGACCGGTGTACGCTGGTATGAGTATTCCTGACTTGTCAAAACACTTAATGTATGACTTTTATCACAGTGAACGTACGAAGCAATATGGTGATTGATATGAGGTGTTATATACCAACTCAGATTCTTTGTTGATGGAAATACAAACCGAGGATGTGTATAAAGATATGAGAGAAAAAATAGATATGAACGATAAAAGCGATTACCCAAAGACAATCCATTGCACAGCGCAGTAAATAAAAAGGTATTAGGTCAGATGAAGTTTGAATGTGCTTGAACTCCTATTGTGTGAAGCCAATTTCTGGTGTCCCCCGCCGTGATATTGCTGGAATATTGCTAAAAGTGGTGTAAAACCATACTCACTCACTCACTATTGCAGAGTATGTTGGATTAAGACCTAAGATTTATTCTGTAAAGAAGTCTGATAATGTGAACTCCAATTATCCGATCGCGTAGTCCCCGCAGAAATTATGCGAAAACTCAAGTTAAAAATTGTTTGCATTGTAATGAAATCAGCAATATATACCTCATTAATTCGGATTTTTGTAAAGTTTTGGAATTCAGTAGAAAAGAGGAATTGGCATATCTTCATGATTTAGAGTCAAGCCAAAACTTGATATTACTGATGTGTGAAAGATTTGACAGGTTAAGATAGCATTATTTGATATGTCACTTTTACCACGTTGTTTGAGAGAACAAATAATTCAGCGATGCTAACATATAATGATTTTGCTATTTCACTTTTCATGTAGGGCAGCCAGGCTTTGTTCACGTTGTTTTGATGAATGTTATTTTCAAACAGTTGAGAAGTTACATGTGAGTATATAACTCGAAATGACCTTAATTGTTCATATTAGTTTTGAATAATTAATGTACTGTAAAGGTTAGAAGAAACGAAGGTGAGATAAGCTGCGCCTCGGGACACGGGCGGTCATTTCTGTCAGTGACAATGATGTGGTCACAGTCTCAGTGAGCAGTGTACCTGATGACATCAAAACATTCTCACAATGAACACTAAAACACGAATAAAGGACTGGACAGTTAGCTAATAAACACGCTGGGTTTAAAAGTGTATAGAGAAGGGTTTTTCTGAGTATGTGTAACATGTTCGCCAAAGACAACTGGAGAGGATGCATGCTCATTGTCGCCTATGACGTACACAAGCTAAACAACCATGCTGCTATGTCGCTACTTGCAGTGCCGTCCCCGACTACAGCGATTCTCCTGGAGTGTCTGAATACAATGATATACTTGTGTCCCCTATGGTGCACCTATGACCCCTAGATATACCAATAGATACACAATGGAACTGCCAACGATAGTGCAACATGTCCTGTACAGTGAATCACCACGTACACGACGTTATGTAGGGTGGGACGGCGTGCTGAGATCGGTCACTGTGACATGGCTAGAAATAGATATATCTTTGCTGATAGTCGTATGTAGACGTCATGTATGAATAACAAGTAATGTATTTGAAAAAGGAAGTAATGTGAAATGTGAAAACAGTTGTCACGCTCAGTTCACTCACGCTTTTACAACAAAGGCCGTTGTTCAGTGTGTTTGTGCTGTC